ATAATTAAAAAAAATCTTCTAAAAGTGGAGATACGGACAATACTCCCCTCTAGGGGCAGACACAGAATTTGCAACGTTCAATTCAGCAGTGCATCATTTGTAAACCACATTAGTGAAATGAAACAAATAGGGCCTAACCAAATCAAAGACAACCAGAATTATTAAGTCGTTCCCTGCAGAGAACACTGCTGCCTATGAAATCGGTCTAAGAAGCATGCTGTATTCCCATATTCATGCAGAAGGGTTTTAATACTACATGTATATAGAAGCTCATTTATCAGATTTCCCTAGCAACATACACCCCATCAGCTTCTGACCCAGACAACATATCATCGAATGCAATGTGCAAAGAATACATTTTTTTTTATAAGTAAACACATGTATCATGAAAATGTATGTACTGACAAGCACTAAAGCTGGAAGTTTACTCAGCTGATCACACTCAGTATATTTGGAAGTCAAGTAAGATGGAAGGTCAGCATCAGCTCGGCTGCTTCCCTCCTCTTCATTCAGGCAGCCAGATGCGAGGTTGGAAAAGCAATTCAAGCGTCTCCGTCAATGACAGAGGGTCCAATCCTCTCTGCGCGGTTTACTCCTACGTACAGTCTGGGAAGCTTGCAATTCCTCCTTGGAAACGAGGGGAATGCAGAGCTAGCGGAGGGTTGTCTCCACATCCCCAAATCCTGAGAACCGCATAAGCCTGGGGGGAGCGGCAGGGGATGGGGCTGACGCCCCAGCTAAGACCCAGTGCCTCCAACCAGTGCACCACCACTGGGACGAGGAGCTCTCCCCTCAAAAAGCTCAACACTACCTATCTTCTCATGGAAAGCCATGCTAGGTAGCAGTGCTGAGCTGTTACCTTTGTCGGGACGTGCAAAGGCAGCCGAAGGGGCTGGCTCCACATCACAGCCACCTCTGCGCAGGCTGGGACCGGATCCTCCAGCCACCTCGCAGCGGAGCCTCGCTCACACCGCTGAACGCCCATCACAAAGAAGTGCTACCCCCAAAGTAGCACAGCTCCATGCACGTTACAAAAGCAGTCCCCTGACTTTTGTTTAGACAGAATAGCATAGACACTCTTTTATTTTTAAAGTTATTACTTGCAATAGTGGAAGGCAAGCTATTTAAAAAGCTTTGCGCTCCATTTCTTATCACATACACCATGGTTAGTGGGAATTTATTTCCACACACATGCACACCCACACACAATACTCTACCAAAAAAAAAAAAAAAAATTATGTTGCATGTTTTTTAGGTTAGAAAAGCATTCTGTGTCTTTCTGTAGCCTACAAAAACATCAATCCCGAGAAGCTTTCTCCCCTGTAAAAAACAGCGGAAAAGGGACTGAGTAGGACGATGAGAAAGTCTGTGTCAAACCCAAATTTTTCTCCAGCTGCATATGCTGAGCAGGGCACTGTCGTTTCCTCGATATACCTATAGCCTGCAGCACCTAATATGACAATACTCTGCCATGGTCACAGGAGAGGCACCTCCACAGAGTAACTGAGATTCAGCGGCAAGCCCACCTAGGTCTCACTCACCCAGGTGCTGCTCCGCTACCTCAGGTGGCTCAGTTCATTACCTCATGAATCGGTGCTTCGCTGCACTTCTTTAACGCTGCAAAACTCAGGGCTTGCACAGAAATAGCATGCCAGCTGCGAATCCGCTGCACGACGTAGTATTTTGCTCCAGGCTGACTGCTAGCTGGGTCTGGACTTTACTTACACAAGTAATTCACACGGATAATCGGGAATTGCCTCTGTGGCAGTCTCTGGAGTTGTACTAGTGTAGTCCTAAAGGCAGTGAGACTGGTTTCAAGGTCAACATTACCAATAATTTTGTGAAATATAGGTTTCTCTGAAAGTTACGCTGACTTTTATTCATTTAAGCGTGTATGGTTATCCTCACATTGGTTCAGGAGTTTATTATTGTGGAGATCACTAACTTGGGGCTAGTAAGAACAGCAATACACACAGCAGAAGAGAAAATGAGAGGGTTTTTTCCTTCTTTTAAACACAACCTCTATCGTGTCTAAGTCTTTTTAGCACTGGTGCAGTTACAACTGTGATGCTCTATAGCTGTAAGGACTTCTGTAACGATACCTTACTTCTCCTAAACCTCTTTTCCATTCAGAAGAAGAGATTTAAGGCTAGGGCCAAAATAAAACGGAAAAACCTGAAGTAAAACTGGGAAGCTCCAAGTGCCTGCATACAAAAGGGTAATCTCCTTGAGCCCCAAAAAGTCTTAACCACTGGGCCACAGGAGCGAGCCTGGGGCTCGCTGTCCCAACACGCGGCAGCGGGTGGCTGTCGGCTCTGCCCCACAGCAGGATGGGGTGCTGGCGGGAGCTCAGCTCCGGTGCTGCGTTCTGAACACCCAGGCATCTCAGCATCCAACCTCAGGCTCCCGAGCACTTTGTTGGGTCTTAGGCACCACTCTGGGCTTGTATGTGAAAAACTCAGAATCACACTCCATTGCTCAGTAGTTTTTTTCCTTTCATCTCTTTTTCAAGTCTTGTCCGTATGACTATGCTGTTGAAGAAAACCCTGCTGAAGACAGACAGCAGTCTTAATTACTACAGGCTAATTACCTTTAATGAGCAAACTGCTGTACATTGATGTGGGATTTGGCCTGAGAAGAATTTCAGACAATCCTCTAACATCGCAGATACTATATCTTATATCTAGGTTACACAAAAATGAAGCTTGACAGTATCCTCTAATCAGATGAGGAGCATGACCCTGAAGATCTGAGACACCAGTCTGCTTCTCTGCCAATATAATGTGCCAGCTTTGTTTTCAGGAAAGTACTTGCTAAAGCGGCTTCACAGTGCTGCTAGCTTATTTCATTTACCCCTATGATGATTTGCCTTTTAGCACTATTAGTGAAATAAAAAAATAAAAAATAATAAAAGCTCCAAGGGTTCAAGATGGACTGACCCAGAACAAGATCTCAGTTTCTGGCCTTGGAGACAGTTCTCCTGCAATCAGCACTGCAGCTGCAAATACAAACAGTAAGAGAGAACAGATCTTCATAAAAATGCTGGACTGAATCATCAAATCTGTTGAGAATATGCCTTCCATTTAATCAAAGGAAATATTTAAGCATTAGCAGTATTCAGAAGCTACAAATTAATTGGTACTTGTAGGCAGTGATTATGTTTTCCATTTTTCTTGATATTCACATAAATATGTGTGAAAGATTGGTTGCCCGGCTCTACTAGGAGTGGGGGCTCCCCACAAGTATTTGCAGAGCTAGTGGGGAATCAGCATCAGAAGAAATCCATCCCGGTTATTACCTCATGGTATACAGCAGGGTGCCGTCATCCTCCAGGCGCAGAAGTTTGTTTGGGGTTGTCATGTTGTGAGCAATAGATTTCTTGCCATTGTGGAAAAAAGTGTCCGGGGTCCAAATCTTGCTGGCGAGCAGGTTGTTCAGAGGGAGGCGTTGCATAGGCCCTTTGAATCGCAGCCTTTCGTCTTTCCAGCTTTGTCGGAAAAAAACGTCAATGGTGTATTCCTGGCACAAAGAAACAGTCAAGATATTGCAGGGTCTGAATAGAAGCGATGGTTCCAAAGCAAAGTAAATACAATGGAGTCGGGAGCCATGCACTCGAACTTACCATTTCTGTGTCTGACACGGGACCAAAACTGGTAACATAGATGTCTGTTTTCACCTGAGTTATTCTCTCTGTAATAAAAATAGGCTCTGCATTAGTAATTGCTCTAAGATGCAAGTACGTGCTTCTGATGCATTTCTCTATTAACAATTTCTGAATCACTCAAAAATCCCCAAAAGCTTAAATTTAAGAAGTTGTTTTAGGAGGAATTTCATCCTCGATCAAATGCAGATGTCAATCTTCGGGAGCTCAGGCTCTCTGCTTATAATCAGTGGCAAGAAACAGGCCCTTCGAAGGTACGATTCCTCTGACCGACAGGTTTCGACACCTACTATGGGATGAGATGAAGTGAGTCTTGGCAGGACCTATTCCCCTCTGCTGGCTTGGGTGATCTGACCAATTTCAGACATCTCTATTATAGATGTCCAAAGTTAGGTAAAATTAATACTACCTTCAAGACTCTTAAATCTTTCTGGCATCTTTTCAAATCCAGGACTAATTTAATTTAAGGGCAGAAATTTCAGAAGCTGGTTACATAAGATAGGAGCATCGAGCCCTATTTTCAAGCATCTCTGTGTAAAGTGAGAGGAGAAGGAGAGAAAGGGATGAAAGCAATGTGTTGGTCTCACAAGAGGAAGGGGAGGGGGTAACCAGATTAAAAAAGGGCCAGGAAGAAACATAACAGATGGTTTACACATGGTAGAAGATGAGAGAAATCTGGGGGATCGAGAGCTGAAGGAGGGCTCAACAAGGTTAGGATGGCAAGCAACTATTCACATGTTATGGTTTTAAAATAGCTGCTATAGAGGTTATCAAAATGACATATCAATACAGATTCACTGTAGCTGTCTAAAAATAGATGGTTTGGGGATCTGTTTTTAACAGAGATTTTTGACACCGGCGTAATTTTATACATGCTGACCAGTGAGGGAACCTTGCAGCAACCTGCTGGCACCCTGTCTCGCTCACCTTAGGGAGTACCAGAAAGAAAAGAAATCCAAACTGTATTCAGTTACAGAAAAAATGCATCACACATGCTCTCCTAACCCAATCTCAGATGACCTCAATGACTGAAAGAAGATGACTTCCAGTGACCTTTGTATTGTTCCCTGTTTGCCAGAAGACAAATGTACTTTTCTAATGAAACACAACTCCCTCGTCAAGGCCTGTGCTGAGAGCAGGCACCCATTTGGGAAGGCATCACGTAGACGATGGTCCCGCATAGCGGGGGACCGGCCACAGCGAACGTGTTATCCTACCTCCCAGTCCCGGGCGCAGTCGGTTGTCGTAGCCGTCCAGCAGACCGTCCAAGATCCTGGTGAATATAGTGATGTTGTCATTGGTGTCCTCTTTTCCCGATGCTGTTGGCGTTTGCGAGAAGCTATTTTATGCAAACAAAAGGAAACACGTCAAAAGCCATGCCAGCCTCAAGGGGCTTCAGTCTCAAGGGAATTTTGTGACGGAGCCCCCGAGCATCCTGCAACTCCAGCTGAGCGGCACAGGGAGCTGCGACGATTTCATCACCGCTACAAGCAATCATAAATAGCTCTCCCTGGAGGAAGAGGACCCGAGGAAAGGACCCATGCCATGGATGTACAGCCCTGGGGTGCCGCATCGAGGGACACCTGAGCCCATGGACCCTCTTGCACAGGGAGATCCCAGTACCCTGCCCCACCGCAGCCCCACTGCTTCCCCAGCACTGACACGTCTCCGTCCTGGGGCCAGCAAAAGCTGTAACTGGTTTTTCCCCGGGTTAGCTCTCCAGTCTTCGGGAACTGCATCAGCTGGCAGAGGAGCTGCACGAGCAGCACAGGTTTGCCTGGGGACACTCCTTCAAGTCTGCCTGAAGGTACTCTTTAATACTTACATGCCAAACAGCTTCTAATTTCCACAATGTATGTATGTAATCTATTGCCAGAACAAAGGATGAACTCTAACCTCATTTGAGAATAACGAACTCCCACTGCATTCAAAAGTCCCACCCCTGATCACTGGGATATCTGAAAAAATATACTGCGGTACAGAAAACACAGTTCTTCATTCCTCCTCTCTCTTTTGCATAAATTAGTCCTCCCTTGTAGTATGCAAATAACAACAACATGTAGTGGGCCTCATTTCATATCTTTTGGGCCAGATTTGTTGTTATTCCAAACTCTTTTTTATTTCCGTGAGATACGTACAGAAGTATTTCAGATATGGTCCTTTAAGCCCATAGAACATCACTGATTTTTTTTATTTTAAATTTGTCTGCTCAGGTATCCATGGCTCAGACCTAGGAAGCTGATTCTCCAGCTCACAGCACAACCATAACTTGCATTTTTAAGTCCATTTGATTTTCATTTAAAGAGGCTCAGGAGAATCCCCTGCCTACTAACGTCTTTGCTTACCTAAAGAACAGACATATAAGTTTATCCATAAGCATGCTTCACCTGCAACAAGCAATGAGCATCTCTTAAGTCAACAAGTTTGCTCACACTCGGTGCTTATTCAAGTTTCGGCCTCTGCTGAAATCACCAAAAAATGCTGCGGCTGCGACAGAGGGCACATCGCCCCACTAGGAACCGTACCCTGCCTCATGCACCCTGCCAGCAGACAGGAAACACTTCAGCTCCAGCAGCCTGAGCTCACTGTGATCCAGTCACCCAGAGATAAGAAAATAAAAAAAAATAATCCATGTTTATTTACTACCAGTCCCCAGGGAAATAAATCAGTAAATAAATAAAGAACCTCAAAGCATCCCTCTGAACAGCTTGCTTTGCAGAATGCTTATAACGTGTTAGGCTTACCTAACAGAACAGGATTTATACAAGAAAGATGAGGGACCTCAACCTTGTTTTACCCATGCAAGGTTTACACTCACGGGACCTCGCTGACCCTCGACAAGCTCAAAACTGGAGAGCCCAAGGCCACCGAGGAGCTCCCCTTTGCTGCAGGCAGAGGCATAGCTGCAAACCTCACCCGTTTTTCAGGCCATCCCATCTCTCCGTGGTCACAAGACAAAACGAATTTTTGTTTCCTATGCTGTGACCACAACCTCCAGTCAATAACTGAGGCAGGCAACATCACGGATATGTTTGACTATAATGAAAGACAGTTAATCCAGCAGATGCAAACCGATTACAGAAACGTTAGACAATCCTGCAGACCGGACCATTCGAGACAAAAGCCTGTATGCTTTTTTGTCGATCGTAACCAAAGGGATTCACTGCGTAAAGGTGAATATTTACAAGCAGCAGCCTAACGAATACAAACAGGAGACAGTAGTTACAGAGGTTCTTACTATGCAGCGACTGTAACTAATGCTTTGGCAAAATCCTAGAATACTATCTTAAACTTTTCTCATTTCTTTTAGCTTCTTTTTTTCATAAGAAAGAGATATGCATCATGCTGCCTGCCTGCTTCACCATATCAATGTACAAACCCGTTTTCATTTTCCAATGCATCTGACAAAGAAGCGGAGAGATCAAACTTCATTTCATTCCTGCAAGTTTCCTGAGAAGCGGTGACTAGACCAGGGGAGAGCGATCTAAATTAGTGCCTCATTAAGTAAAAATGTGAGGTCAGCAGTCATCTATTCCCTCTGGCTGGCTGGCTGGGCCAGTCAGCACGCATGTGGCTCAGATACAGCCTCAGCAAAACCAGCCCACCTCCTCTCTGCTAATTAAGAGATATGGAGGAGACTTGCAGGGTGATTAGGAAAGATCCTGGAAGAAAAGGACCGCAGAGGCAAAATGTAGGTGTTGCAATGGGAGATGGGAACAAGGGATGCCAAATGCGGAGCCGGGATTATTGCAAAGGTACGGTGCTGGGGGCACAGGGTACAAAGCTTCACTAGTTTCTCTGCTCTTGAAAAAGCTTGTTATTTTTAGTGCTTATGGCTGAATTCAAAGCCAATTGAACTCAGAGGGAAGATTTCCATTGAACTATTTTTGTGGGGATGGGACAAAATATACTTAGTTCTCATAACTGCTCCTCTGAATCTAACGAGAGTAATTGATGCTGCTTCCTTCCGTCTCAGCTATGGACATCTTTCACAAGAATAGTATACACACCTCAAATACTGAAATACTTTTCTATCTCCACAAGAAAAGCTAATTAATAGATGAAAAAGATGTAGAAACAACTAGGGTGAAGACTCATAAAAAGTCTGCACTTCATCTGCAAAACTGCAATCCAATTTAGATTTGGCAGATCGCTTCACCCGAAAAAGAAGGCATCTGATGCTGAATTTTGGCGAAACGTCAGTATTATGTGAAGTTGCGTTTGTAGACGGATTACTGTTTGCCATTAATGCAAACGTTACCTTTTCTCTCACAGAAACGTTAGCTTATAACTTCCATTTTTGATATTGTTGGTGACATACACGTTTTGGAGTAAGTGCTGAGGTCTTTTATGACATAAGACCTTTAAACTGTACTTGAAAAGTTATGTGCAGATATTAGATACTATAGCTTTATGAATAAAGAGAAAACAGGTGATATCCTAAACTAATTATTTCCACACAGCTAAAGATCAGGTTTTATCAACATATTAGCAGGTAAGCACATTATTGCCTCTCTGCAACCAAAAGTTTTTTTATAGCAGACACTTTCAGTTATGGATAAAAATAAACCTAGAGAAGAACCTTACAAAATGCTAAGAAAATTCAAAGATAATTATATTTAAAGCTCATTATCAAACATAAACTAAACCAACCAGGAATACTTCTCATCACATTTATTTAATAGTGCAATTTCAGGGTGACTGAAAAAATCAGAAGCCACAGAAGAGGCCCATCAATGTAAAATGTAATAACTCTCTAAAGATGCTCAGCTACCTCTTCCGAGACGTTCATCATTTACCATTTTAAACATCACTGTCTTTTTTGCCATCTAGTCAAAATCATGACAGATACTATTCATAGCTTAGTTGTAATAAGAGCAAAACGTATGGTAGATATTTAATGATTTTCCCAAAACTTTAAAAAAAAAGGTAAAAGACACTGGAAAAATAACTGAGAAGCATTTTGTGGTTGAAAGTTGTATTTGTTTTTCTCTCTCTCTTAAGAGTAGAGTTTCCAATAACCTGCTTTAATAGGATTGGAATTATACCAGAACTTCAGACAAATTAATAGTTTGTGGAAAATAGTGGAGAACGCGCTTGCAGACTTTTGGATACTGTCAGCTGGCCAGACGTCAAAGGAAATAGATTTACTTCTCTAAGTTAGCTTCTTGCCATCTCTTACAGATTCTCGTGATCTAAAAATCCTGATATTTTGTGAATTTGTGCAATGAAGATGCAATTCTTTCACATCAGATTAGGATAGAGGAGAGGACTGACTAAAATGATGAAGCTTTAATGGCCTTTGCAGATCTTTAAAGAATAATTTCATTCTTTATTTAGCAAGAGCAGTATTTTATTGGGACTGAGCAATTTGTCAGCAGTACAATAAAGCCTGTTTTTTGTAGGGCGATGTCTTATCGTCCTCACCTCCTCGCACCTTAACACCCCTTTCAATATCCTGAATTTCTCCCAGTTATTTAAAGACCTCCCGGCACTCTCAGCTCCCCAAGTCACCGACCTGCAGGTTTACTAGGAGGCAACACATGCCAGGGCTGATCCTGCACCAAGCAGGAGCTGATGGCCCGCAGGTACCCGCCTGCTGTTTGGCCAGCCAGCAGGACAAGCGAAACAGAGATGCTGAAGCCGTAGCTTTCTGTTCGGCAGAAGGATTGACTGAGCCTGCCTCCTCCCAGCAGTTCTAGGTACCCACTTAGTGTTCCAATTATTAAAATTGTCTAATGGGGTCAAAAAGCTATCTGGAGACATGGAGAAGGAAAGAAAAACAGAATTAAAAAAAAAAAAAAAAGATAGGCATGACTGTATAAGCATATGATAATTCTTACAACATTAGTCTTAAAAATATGAGGAAGAATTCTTTAGCATCTGCAAGTGTTTGGAAAGGGATAACCCAGCAGAACTAACTGCTTAGGGTTGCAGCAACTAACTTGAAATAACAGCCTGAAGGAGAGGTATGTTTAGCCTAAATAGCAGGATTATGGTCTTAGTGATAAGGGCTGTGAGCTAGTGGAAAAGTATGCGAAACTACAGACACACCACGGACTGAATTCTTACAGTGTACAAAGAAGTCTTGCCTTAGCTACATTTAATTGGGATCTTCTGTTTTCCATGTTTCTACTATTATAAATATTATTAGCAGATGGCAACTATACTGTGGTTACACCAACAACATCCGTCCCCATTGGTTTCAGCTCTCACACAGATTTCTGAAATTGCACATCTGAAATGCAAAAACACAGGGACCGTGCGTCACCAACGCGTCACCAGAGATGTCCCCATGGACAGTATGGGACTTGCGAAAAAGATTCAGGATGCCGTAAGGTTAGCCGGCATGGCGCCGACCACGTGCTACCTCATCTCAGGGAGATCTCGGTGCAGGTGGTCACCCATCGTGCCGACCCTCACAGGGCTGCAACCGTGTGGGCTCCCCGAGGATCAGAAAGTGCAAGATGCTGGGCAGTGCCCCAGCACCCACCGAGTCTGGCAGGACAGCACCCTGCGTACATTGATTTGCTTCCTGCAGGATGCTGGCAGCGTCGCTCTTGTGGGCATCCGTCTGAAGGGAGCAGGATCCAAATTATTTTGAATTTCCACTGACCCCTTGCCAGGAGAGCACCCACCTCCTGCTTGGTTTTGTCAGGCTGACCCTGTGGGCCTTACGCTCATGAAACCGTGACTGAATTCAGTGCAATCCTTCACATAAAACAAATGGGAGGAATCAGCCTCTTGTCTCATCTGAAAACACTCTTCACGGTTATATTTGGCTTTTAATTATTCTCTAGCTCTGTTATTAATACATACTTTCAAGACAATGGTGAACTATCTTGACATACTTCAGTAAGATACCTTAACTCGTTAGAGCATTATACGACTCAAGGCTGAATTCAAGCAAGCTTGAAAAAACCTGGACTCTGCTGGACCATTTCTGGAGAAGAAGACTCATAAAACTGTTACACCAACAACAGTGAGGGGCTTCGCATCCTCTTCTCGTTTCATCTGTATCTTTGAATTTTAATTCAGTGATTTTTCTTTAAATAACTTCTACCAGCTATGCCTACAGTCCTTCTTGACCACCTATTGATGTGGATAACTCTCGATAGTCATTCCACATTTATGTTAAACATTAATCACAGACTTTTGCTGAGACTTCCAAAGTAGCCGAGGAGACTGAGAGACATAATTCCTGTTTATTTTACCAGGCATTGTGCATAAAAATCCCCCAAGGTGGCTTTGGCTATGTCAGCAAAAACTGTATTTATGATTTAATATAAATATGGAATGGCTATGGAGAATCGTAGACAAATCTCTGCCTTCATCTGCAATGTCCTACTGTATTTTTAATTTGTGCTCGTTTGACCAATCACTTTTATCTAGCACATTGCAAAATGCACTGCAATGTAACAGTGCAGTCCAAACACGGATGAAACTAATAAAGAAGAACCCAGTAGCAACAGCAAGTATTATCAGTATTAGATTCTTGCAGTTAATATAGCAGCCTACATGTAAATTGTACCGTTCTGTCCTGAAGAGTCAGTCCCAAAGCACTTAGCAAATTACACTCTGAAACTGCTTCTGCCTCTGAAACAGAAGCGCTGGAGCATCCTCTGTCTTTTGAGCGGGGTCAAAATTCAGCCCTAAGGCAGCGTGTGAATGGTACAGCGAATTGAAGCTGCTTATCTCTGCAGGCCCGGACTAAAATTACTAGATCAGAAATGGGGGGTGTGGGGGGGAGGTTACGTGATGATCTCATTTTAGTGCACAGAAGCTTTTTGAGTAACTTGCAGAAAACAAGTGTCCTAGTTTCCCGTAACTGTCCTGTTCTGATTATCTGCCAGGTTACAGGTCACACCAATTGCTACCTAGGATTTAGATTCAGTATTTGCTTTGGAGTCGAAAAGGAGAGCTAAACCCTCTT